GGTCGGTCGCGCCAGGGTTGTCCCTGGCGAGTGGTGTCAAACAGGACTGTGTGCTCTTATAGGTTGGCAACCCTATTTGTTCTGTTGCTACATCCTGTCTTTTTTTTCTTCTTTTTTTTTTTTTTTCGGTCGGTCGCGCCAGGGTTGTCCCTGGCGAGCGGTGACAAACAGGACTGTGTGCTCTTATAGGTTGGAAACCCTATTTGTTCTGTTGCTACATCCTGTTTGGCTGTGGATGGAATTCTACGAGTACTTATTCGACTGTTGTTGACTTGCGGGGTCCACAATCACGAAGGGAGATCGCTATCGCTGTTTCGGCACACTGTTTTCTTTTTGGCAACCTTACCGGCATGATCCGGGCACTCCGGCCAGGTTCATGCCGAGGGCGCATTTCATTATATCAGCCAGAAACCGGGTCTGGCGTCCCTCACATCCAAGACGAAATTTCTGGCCCGAAACCTAAACCCTCACATCCAAGACGAAATTTCTGGCCCCAAACCCAAACTGCCCCTATTACTATCTCCACTCCGCATATTATGCGAAAACAAAGTAACCGCCTCAAAATAAAACGATCATAATTCCTAACAAGTTCGTCACAGCGGCAGATAACTATAGGGTTGCCTTGTCGCTAACTATAGGGTTGCCTACCTATGGGTACTCGTAAAATTGCGGCGGGCGATCGCGGGGCAGCGCAACGCGATGTGGCGTTAGGCCAGCAGCTAGACCCCGCCGTCGGCATGGCAGGAAGCTCACGAGGTGTGGCGGCGCGCGTGGGTGCGAGGGGGGGTGAGGTTTCGCGAGTCACTGGTGGGTGCTCGGCCATGGCTGGTCCCGGCCGACGTTGTTGGTAGTCCTTGCTGGTCATGTAGGGCGTGGTTCTAATGTGGGGAGGACCGGAAGGTGGGATATGGTTGCCGCTGTATACCAGATATGGAGCCAGATGGGGAGAGGCGTTGTAACCCACCTGATCTTCAGATATGTAGCCTGGATTCGACTGTTGTTGACTTGCGGGGTCCACAATCACGACGGGAGATGGCTATCGCTGGATTGGGATGCTACACCGCGATTTCGGCACACTGTTGCGCAGCCCATCTAACGACCATTTCGTCAAAACGGACATCTTTTATTTTTTGAACGAAATTGAAATTGAGTTTTTTGGCCGAAAACTTGTCAAAATTTGCTGTTCCTGAGGGTCCAGTGTTTTACAAACGCTGGACCCCCTGGCTGTACATGGACCTAGCTTGAGACCAGGCACCTCCAGGTAGGACTGCCTGGAGGTACCTGGTCTTAAGTTTCATGTACAGCCAGGGGGTCCAGACCCTCAGGAACAGCAAATTTTGACGAGTTTTCGGCCAAAAAACTCGGTTTCAATTTTGTTCAAAAAATAAAAGATGTCCATTTTGACGAAATGGCAGTTATCTACATTGCGGCGCTGATTATGGAAGCAGTAGACGTTGCGGGATGGTTGATAGTCCCCGGCTACTAGCCATCTTGGTGGACAGATATTTTGTTTGGGTGCTCACCGTTTTAGGGGACGGTTTCTGAAGTTGCGGCTCGTGGTCTGCTGATGGTCGAATTTCGTTTCTCTTAGCCTTTTTGGCTTTTGACATGGCTGGGGTTATGGCCAGAGCTTGAGATCTTGACGGTAGTAATGACTGTATAGCTCGTTTTGTTTGTGGTTGGTCTTCGTGTTTTGTGTTTAGTTGGTTTTGTTTGTTCTTACAGTTTTGTTTTGGTCTTAGGCTTGTTTCAATTGTGTGTGTTGGCCTTGTTTTCGAGTTGTCCCTGGCCAGTGGTGTCAAACACGACTGTGTGCTCTTATAGGTTGGCAACCCTATTTGTTCTGTTGCTACAATCCTGTTTGGCTGTGGATGGAATTCTACGAGTACTTATAGGTAGGCAACCCTATAGTTATCTGTTGCCAACATGCCATCGCTTTAGGTTTGTTTCAATTGTGGGTGTTGGCCTCGTTTTTAGTTGCTCCTGGCAAGTGCTGTTAAACAGGACTGTGTGCTCTTACAGGTTGGCAACCCTATTTGTTCTGTTGCTGCGATCCTGTTTGGCTGTGGATGGAATTTTACGAGTACCCATAGGTAGGCAACCCTATAGTTATCTGTTGCCAACATTTCATCGCTCTGACGAACTTGTTAGGAATTATGATCGTTTTATTTTGAGGCGGTTACTTTGTTTTCGGATAATATGCGGAGCGGATATAGTAATAGGCGCAGTTTGGGTTTCGGGCCAGAAATTTTGTCTTGGATGTGAGGGTTTGGGTTTCGGGCCAGAAATTTCGTCTTGGATGTGAGGGACGCCAGACCCGGTTTCTGGCTGATATAATGAAAAGCGACCTCGGCATGAACCTGGCCGGAGTGCCCCTATCATGCCGGTAAGGTTGCCAAAAAAAAAAAAAAACGGTTCTGGAACTTATGGTCAAAAAAAAAAAAAAAAAAAAAAAAAACAGCATATCGGTTCTGAAAAGTATCTTCATGGGAAGGGGTATTTCTGCAATTTACCCCAACTATAATACTTCTCGGAACCGGTATTTCTGCTACTGTACATCTCGGAACCCGTATTTCTGCAATTTGCCCTTTTAGGGATTATCTATACTGCCTTGGAAAATATTACATAGAGTACATCTATTCTTGAGCCAACATTACATACCTCGGTATCGTTTAGGCAGACACTCGGATCCCACCTCTTTCTGCTTGAGTAGGGAGCGGCGCTGAGATAGGAAGCATGTGAAAACATTCGATGTCGTGGCGCCACGTGCGGACTCCTACCGTCTTCCCCCGAACATAATGCAACCCGGTAATGATTGCATACAAGCTATATTTCAGGTCAGGTGCAGCCAAAAGAAGGGTGCCGGTAGCCACGACAGTACTTGCAACTTTCCGAAACTGCTGGACCCCTACCTTGCCGCGAAAAAGGAGGAACAGGATTTTTATTTTTTATTTTTTTTATTTTTTTTGTGTGTGTGTGTGTCTGTGTGTGTCTTCTGGCTGTCCTGGTTGGCTACGGTAGCATGTGGGAATCACCAAAACAAGGGGTCTCGCTCCACTACTCTAGAAACCGGCCATTTCTTGAGCGGGGCACGGCTCCACTTACTCTAGACTCCAGGTCTGGAATTTGGGTTCTTGAGCTGTCAGTATCTACTCACGAAAATGGAGAGAACCCGTCGTCGCTCCACTACCTCATGAAACACACTCACGAAAATGCATTACTTGAGTTGTCAGAACCTCCTCTCCCGTGGCACTCTTGAAGATTCAAGAGCTCCGGCCTTCAGCGGCGGGAATTTCAAGGGAGGCATTCAGGGCCTTCGAAAGTTGAGCATTTTTATGGAGTGCACCTGGAGTCTGGGCAGACAACAGCGTGCTGGCCATGTCGTGTAGCTCTCTCAAATAGCCGTCTGACAACTGAGAGGCTTTCTTGAGTTTTACCTTCTAGAGTAAGTGGAGCGATGTTCTCTTTTTCAGTCGTTTCTAGAGTCTGACAGCTCTAGACTCGCTCTCGGAAATCTTCGAGAGTCTAGAGTAGTGGAGCGAGACCCAAGGGGCGCTTCAATACAGAAAGTTATAGATGAAGAAACATTTACACCCATGAAATGTTGAAAATACAGACCCATGTTCGAATCCAGATGATGGAACTTGATGAGTAAAGTTGCAAAAACAACTATTTCTGAATTGCCTGGGGCCGTGACCCACTACCGAAGTATACTTCGTAGTGGGGTTCTCGATCATGTGTGGCCCCCCTTGACAATATTCCATCTTTGATGCACCTCCATCTCAACGGCCCGAGGATTTGCCAACCGCAACAGAGTAAAAGGGACCAGGGCAGCCAATCCCGGTCGAGGCAAAAGGGTTTCAGTGGGACTGAAAAATCGGCAGAAATGTTTTTCAAGTCTGGAAATCCAGACTTCAAAAACAGGGGGCGTTTTCAAGACTTCGCGCCCACTGAGTTTGGCCGTGCAATGGGAAGACCGAAAAAGAAAATGTCTTCTGACGCTCTGCAAACGGGGGTACTGTCATGCCCCCCCACTGAGTTTGGCCGTGAAATGGGAAGACCAAAGGCAGAAAATGTCTTCTGACACTCCGAATACAGATTTGTTTCCCGATCAAAAAAATAGAAAAACATTACAACAAAACCCAAAAAACATGAGGTTGGGCAATGCTTGGTCTTAACGCAGTCCCAGTGTTGGGAGATTTAATGATTCATTTACTGTGCTTCAAGTCTATCTTTTTGGAAGGTTGGGAGATTGATTGATGCATTTACAGTGCTTCAAGATACCCTTTTTGATTTGTGCTTCAAGCTGAATTTTTTGGGAAGTGTCTTTGGTTGGGACGCAGGACCCGGTTTCCTGCAGGCTTTGATAGATAGAGCTAGCAACAGTTGGTGGGTTTTCGAGCTTTGCTCGTAAGCTAAACTGGCTGAGGCTGCCAGGATAACTCCGGGTTGAATTGTGAGGTCCCCGGCCTCTTTTGTTGGCCTTAAATATAAATGACAAATCTTTCCAAAAAAAAAAAAAAAAAAAAAACACGTCACACATAGTAATTTACTTCGCTAGTGTGTCC